AAATAAATAAATAAATAAATAAATAAATAAATAAAATAAAATAAAAAAAAAATACAGAGTGGAGACATTTTGAGCCAAAGGCATACATCTCTAACCAGAGCATTTCAAGCAGCAAGTAGGGGTATATTTAGGGAATCAGAGATGCTCTAGAAAATTAACTGCCTGCCCTCCCTTCTCATATCCATGGAATAAAATTAGGGATAAAATGTTAGAACTGTAAGGGATCATAGGGATTCACTAATGGGCAGGCGCTCTCTGCTCATATAAAATCTTAATGCAGAGAGTGAAACATAAGAAAGTAGGAAGACGGCTCTGGCTAAAGTGTGTGTGCACATGTGCACTGGCAGAGAGGTGAAGAGGAGGGATGGGGATTCTGAGGCCCACCCACTACTCTGGGATGACATGACGCTGAGCAACTGAAAACCTACCCTCCAGGTGAGGAGCAACACTTAGTCGCAGGACGAATAAGGCCTGAAATTCAAACTCAATTTCCTGTTAATGAAGTGTGCCTCAGCTTTTAGCAAGTATTACATGGCAACCCTCAACTCCAAGGGGATTCATTTTGCCTTTCTGAATAAATCTCAGAATTCCTAAGTCTCCCTGTCACCAACAAAGGTGCTTCTCTTAATCTCCCTATTTCCCTCTCCCACACGCTTCTATCAGCCAGTCCTGCCTGATTTCAGGAAGAGCAAAAGGGCCAGGGTAAGAACGCATACTCCAGGGACACTGTTCTGGGCATTGGTAGGTGCACAGACACCTTAGGTTGTCTTTCTAACTGACTTTCTAGTAATTGTATTAGAAACCACACACTATTCTCATTTTCTCTCAAGTTGTCATCACACATACACATAAGGAACTTTGAAGAGGAAGATTGGAATTTTCTTTCCGGGCTTTCCTTTAGAACCATGGCATCATAAACTAAGCAACACACAATCACACCACTAATAATAGATGAGTTGTTGTGCAGGATAAGTGAAATCGCCTCTGTAAATTGCTTAGTGCCATACAGGACATGCAGTTAGGACTCCATAGCTAACCATTAGGGAGAACTAACACACCTTACCTAATTAGTGTCATATACAAGCATGTAATTACCTTATGAGACTCTATGGCAAAGATCCCAAGGACTCTAGCAACTCACCTGTTGTTGATAACAATATTCCTTGGAGATGTAGGTACCCAGAAATTAAAGGGTAAGGCACTTCTAAAAGGTTGAGAAATAGAAGTGATCAGGTATGCATATACCAGTTCATTGACTGGCTCACCAGATAGTTCTGAAAAACATTTCAATTTTTTCTTTCTTAGTTCTGCTAGATGGTAATTGTGGCACTTCCCAAAGAGGTAGAGAGACAGAGAGGGAGAAAATGAGAAATGACCCCCCCAGGGGGGATTGACCACACCATTTCCATTCTCCTCTCAGGATTTTGGGCATGCGTGCGCAGGTGCCTGGTTTCCCAAGCTGGCAGGTCCAGGACTTGGACCACTCAGTTGGCCACGTGGAGTCCCGTGCCTTAACCACCACACCATCTGCCCTAAATGTCTACTTTTAAATGTCTTTTCAACTCTGGATTCTAAAGTCTCTTAATTTATTTTTTAAAGATTTTTGCTATAGAACACATGCAGTCACAGGAAAGAGAGAGAAAGTGAGAAATCACCCCCCTGGCGGGGATGGCCATGCTGCAATCCCTTTTCCTCCATTCTCCTCTCAGGATTTTAGGCACACATGCACATGAGCCCTGCGTGAGTTTCAAGGCGCCAACTGCGGTTGGCCACGTGGGTGTCCAGTGATGTAACCACTATGCCATCTGCTGGCCCCTAAAGCCTCTAAATTTTGAAAGTAAAATTTAATGTTAATTACAAGGGTAATAAACTATATATCCAAAAGTGTGAATTTTACTGTGTGTAAATTGTACCCCCAACAAATCCAACAGAAGTGCAATAGAAAAGTAGTGCCTAGTTTTTCGTCACAATAGTCACCATTTTTGAACTACCATACCACTTCTTAAAAACTGTCTACATTTATTTCATTCTCCTAATGGGTTAGGAACTACTGTTATTTCTCTTTTCACTGATGAGGAAAAGTCTGAGTCACTTGTTCAGAGTACACAGCTCAAAACTGGACTCAAACCATGTCCGTCCGTCCGACAGGTACTTCCGTCTTGAAAGCTTACATTTGAGTCAAGTAGATCTCGCTGGCAGTCACAATATGGGGTACTGTTTCTAATGTGTTTTTCCCTCCTTAGGGACCAGCATGAGCGGCCATCTGCTCTCCAGCTCCTGAAGCATTCCTTCTTGAAGAGAAGTCAGTAAACATAAATCAAGGCTTTCTTCCCATTTCTACTGTAGATGTTCCGTTGTTGCTTAATTGTGGGAATGATGGTTAAGGGACTTTTATTTTCTGACTAGAAATTCTATGTAACCCAACTTAACCAGATCCTGCAATGTCACTAACTGAATTTTAATTACATGTTAGCCTCACTGAGCTTCAGGTATGATTACTCATGTATATAAGAAAATTTTATTTTAAAATTTTGCTATAGGGCATGTGTGCTCACTGGAGAGAGAGAGAGAAAGAGAGAGAGAGAGAGAGAGGAAGGAAGCTCCCCCCACCCCCCAATAGTCACACCGAAGTCCCTTCATTTCTCTCTCTTGGGATTTTGGGCATTTATGCACATGCACCTGGTGTGTTTCTCAAGTCTCCAGGTCCAGGGCTAGAACCACACAACTAGTCATGTGGGATCCAGTTGCCTTCACCACAACACTGGCTGGCCTGAGAAAATTTTCTTAAATAATAACAAAGACAAAAAAAAAAAAAAAAAAGTATTTCAGTGTTCACAGTTTTGATTGCCCAGGAGCTACAATCTCTATTGCTTTATATATTTCCTTTTATTATTGGCCCGTCAATTTTAATTAGTTTAAAATAAACTGTTTCAAATAAATAAATCATAAAACTTACGCTTGGTGAGTAGATGTTTACTTAATTTTTGCAAAGACTAGAGGAAAGCCAGACAGTAGGTTAAAGAGAGGTCAGAGGGATATTACTTACTTTGGGAGCAATCTTAAATATTCTAGGAGCCTCAAGGCCTAACAAGAGGCGCTAAAGCTCTGGCATACCATTACGAGTCCTGAACTCAGAAGTCTCCGAGAAGCTGGTTATCTGAGGTGGTGCCATAAACCTCAGGCTGCTCTCTCTGTAATTTATTTTTGGGATGATTCGAGGTCTTCGCCTCCCTGCACACTGAATCAGGTCATTACCACTTCTAGAACTAGCAAAGCCTAAAGCACCTGGTAGGACAAATGCTACATCTGCTAAAGGGAGACAGGCGGGCATGCCACTTTTTCAGAGAACTTACTTCACCGGAATGAGGGCCATCTCTGCTGGGGACGCTCCTTTCATTTTCAGTTCACAGGAGTGAGGATGAGACCTGTAAGCACTATAAAGTGTGTGTACGAGACCAAGAAGGAAGGGTAGGGGGAACACGCTCTAAGGGGGCCTGGTCACGCTGCAATCCTTTTTCCTCCCATTCTGTCCTGTCAGGATCCTGGGCACACATGTACATGCCTGACACGTCTCTGGGCTAGGGTTCCAGCCCCTAGTCAGGAAATCAGTCTTCCTCTGCACAGCACTTAGCCGCTACACTACAGGGCCAGCCTCGGCCTAAGCATTTTTGATAAGGTTTCTATTGCTGTTGACTTCATTTGTCCACTACATTTCACTGACACCTATTCTTTTAAGCTGTATTAAACCTTTATATTGGCTGCCACCACTGACACAACCACAAAGTAATGAGGTATACTCTAGTTTTGAAAGAAAATGACAAGAACCAAGACAGAGTCTTGCCACACTGTGATCCTTCTCCAGTTCAAGTCAGCCAGGGTTACACGCTCGCCCAGTGTGTTCAGGTCAACTGAGAGCCTCCCCATGTGGCTCCAGTCCTGCACAGCAGCCCCCTAATGCCTGTGTCACTGCCACGGCTGGGCCAGCGTTGGCTGTATTCCAACACTGGCATCAGGCTGTGTGGAACTCAAACTGCTTCTTCACAAGTTTTTGAGAAATAAATGTGAAAAGCAATCCAGGTGAGGAAAAAGACTTCTTTGACCAACAAGTAACATGATGTAGGTCTTTGTGGTCATATCTTCTTTACCTCAAATTGGTAGTCTTTTCCCCATATCTGATAAAAATTTAAGAGATAAATATGTCCCTTTATTTTACTTACTTGCATATCAGTGTGACCCCAAACAATGCAATTGTAAAAGTAGGGGGTAAGTGTTTTCCCTCCTTCATTTTGGAGAGATCTTTAGCGTTCTTTAAACTCTGAATGTTATACTGGATTTTGGAGCGATGAACTACTTATATACACAACCTTGTTACACCATGTGGGGAAAGGGCAGGGATTAAGCCATGTTTATATTATACATACAGATCATGGTAACAGACACAGCATTGGTGTTAACAAATCTACCCCCTCCTATTGATACAGAATAATACTGAAGGCAATTTAGGAATACTAAACAGCATCTTTGGGGTTAACCAGTAGTGTGGTAGACATGGTGTTGTACTCCCACATGGCTGACCATGGTGAATCCAGGACTTGGTGGCTTTTCTCTCTGGTGGTGGTGGTAGGGGAACACACACACACATACACACACACATATATATATCAGACTATTTTATATAGAGAGATTTCTGCTATAGGGCATGTGCACTTACTGAAGAGAGAAAAACCCAGAAAGTGAGAAATCACGCCCTTCTCCGCCATTGTCCTCTTGGGATTTTGGGCACAGACGCACATGCACCTGGCCCAAATTTTAAGTGCTGGGTCCAGGACCTGAACTGCAGTTGACTACATGAGAGTCCAGGAATGTGATCATTACATTTGCTGGTCCCAAAATAAAATACTCTTAAAAAGCCCCAAACAGAATCTTTGAAGTGCTTAAGTTCCCAATAGGCAAGTCTTAGAACTTTCTTTTTTGTATTGCATGTGTCTAAGATATGACCAAGTGTTGGGAACGTTCTCTTGTTCACTGCCCAGATGTACGCCATTACACCTTTTTGCATAAGGGTCTGATAGGAAGCTGCAAGTGCAGACAGGTAGGGGGTGGGGTGGGCTCATTCATTGGGCTCGGCATAAAATAAGGTCCATCATTTAATTCTGGCTGCTCTTTGGGATGGAAGTATTCTCACTTTATTAAGAAAGAACAGCTAACTTTTTCAAAGCTACTCAACTGGTAGATTAGCTGAGAACGCCAACTAGTTCTGACTTTAGAGGACTTCCCCCCCCCTCCGTCATCTCCTATTGTTTATAGGTATGTAACATTCTAGTTTTAAACTCAAATACCTGAGATAAAGATAACCAGAATTCCACCCGGTTTGATTGAGTACTTCAATGGTGCAGAAGTTTCCGATTTTTCACCAATATTACCTGCCCTTCCATAAGCATTTCTGTCCTAAGCACAACCAGGTTCATTTTACTATCTTCACAATCTCTCTACATTCTCTAGGCCCAAGAGGCTTTATCCCCAAGTAAAGCTCTATAGTGTCTCCTTACCGTGAATCTACTTTAGCCCTTACTCTGGGGACATTTCTCAGTTGCTGAATTAGGAGTTACCACGGTGGAGAGAATAAACTCTGCAATCTGGGATTGAGAAGCACGTGGAATTCCTTGTACAGCGTTGACCTATACTCCTGCAAAGCACGACAGCAGCTCCCTGTCTTCTGCAGAGTAGTGAGTAGTACTGAGATAGTACTCCACTCAATGAGAAGGCCCTGTCTCCGTGTTCTGTATTTGTCTCACAAGTATTAATCCAGCAAAAAGTAGCTACTTCAGTGTGGAAATCTGCATTTAAAAAAGCTTCCCAGGTGACTCTTGACAACGTTAAACACTCTGGCACAGGCAGCTTCTATTTTTACTGGTAATCAATAAAATTAAGACAAAGTTTTTATGTATGCCATTACATTATAAAAGGTTTAAACAGCAAACAGTCCTGAAGAAAGGCTGTAGTCATTTTTCTATTGCAAGGACATCTCAAAATTGTGAAAAATTGTAATGTAATTCATTGTAAAGCAATGACTCCCACAGGTGGGACTTGAGAGACTAAAAAAACTGACATCAGGTATATGCCTGGACGTTTGAAACGTCTAAATCTGTTTTATCCCCTGGCAATATGGAAAAAAAGTCATTAGTGAGGTTCAACACTGTTTTGGAAGGTGGTACTGGGGGGGTAGGAACAGGCAGATCATGTATTAGAGTTAGGAAAAAAAACATGGACAATTGTTTTTATTATACTGAAAACAGAAAGGAAAGGAGGGAATACACAATGCACCTGGTGGAGTTTGATTAAATGGACTGACTTTTAAAGTTAACAAAAACCCAGTTTATCATACGCTCACAGGATAAGCCCCAACTGGTGTTATCACCAGTAAGACATTTATAACATGATTTAAAAACATTTATTTTACAATTAGGCTTAAGATGCATTTTAGAGGAAGTAACTTTTCCATCCTAATTCTATTTTATTCAAGTGATTGCAGTTAGTTTTCACTCTGAGGTGGAAGGTAAGAAAAATTCTTGAGAAAAACAGGGAGAGGGCAGCAATAACAAAAAGAAAATTCCAAAACAGAAATTAGAATGAACAATTTGAAAGAGAACTCTGGACACAGCAGGGCATGTGTTTAACACACTTGTCTCATGTCTCTGGGTGGACCTTAATGAAATTCCACTTATTTTTCACAATCTATTCCTTTTACTAGGATTCTCTTTACTGCCACCTATTCTAAGCAGCCTTCCATGACCACCTAAGCCTTAAAGGTGACAAACCATACTGAAGTTTTGCAGGGAAGGAAAATTACAGCACAAAGTCAAAAAATTCACCCCAGGTCATTATGCTAATAAGCGATGGGGCTAAGACTGGAACATGAAGCATCTGTTCCCAGAGGCTGCACTCCCTGATGACAGACAATACTACTAGGGTAATTATATTAGAGACCTTATCTCCCGCATTTCCCAAGGGCTGGAAGTTATTTTTGATTCACATGAACTGAACAAGACATGTTAGAGCCTCGAATTTGTGTTGTCAATGAACAAATTTTATTAATAATTCCTTGTATAGATACTCAAAAGTTGAAATTCATCACTAATTCATGCCATATACACATATCTCTGGTTTGGATATTCTATAGGCAAACATCCTATTCAATTATCCTTGGGGCTTTTGAGTACATTCAGGAAAAAAAGCCCCCAATCACTGTTTATAACAAACGAGTACATGTGAAGCTCTTTTAACCAAGTGAAGCCACTTGAAAAACAAATACAATTTAAAAATAGGAATGTACTCGTTAATAAGAATGTCATTACTTAAATAGGCGAAAGAAATCAAATTACTAAATGGAAGTGTCAATACTTGCGATTTTAAG